AGTCATTCATCTTGGCGCCCTTGCAATCCGCATTCATTGCCAAATGCACATTGACGCTCGAGTTTGCACGCACCTCAATAGGTCTCACAGGGCAACCACTACTAATGCTCTCCGCAGCGTTTCAGCATTGCTTCACTTGCCAAGTGACTCTCTCAATCTTAGCCAATCAACATGGTTGAAGTCGCGTCAGCTTTCGACTTCGCTTGTGTTCTAGTTCGGGGGGTTAGAGTACATGTCCGTACCGAGCATCGATCCAGGCGTCCCCGGCGGGACATCCCCCCGCTCTGCCAAACCACCTGGCCAGGGGGCAAGGAAGAGGCGGCCCAATCCCTGGACCGCTATTCCACACAAGAGCCTGGATCTCCCCCCTGACCTTTTCACCCTCCTCCATGTTGTCCAGCTGTACGTCGAGCAGCGGATGTGGGACGAGGCGTTTAGGGTCGCAAAGTCCCACCCGCACCTGGCGAACGCTGTGCACGGGCCCTACGCCGAGCACCTGGTGCAGCAGGACAGGTGCGACGAGGCACACAGGGCGCTGCGCCTGGCCGGGCACGCCGACCGCGCCCTGCGGCTGCTGCGGGATCTGTGCCACGCGGCGGTGGTGGAGGAGAGGTTCGCCGACGCGGCCCGGTACTTCTACCAGCTTGCCCTGGATAGTCTGGGGGCCTTGGAGGCCGGCGGGCGGGGAGCTGATGACAGCGGGGCCGGGAGTTTGGGCGAGTGGGTGGCCTTACCGATGAGTTTCCATTCCTCGCAATTTGGTTCCCCGTGTTGAACATGCCGGAACGCTGGTAATGGCCTTTCAGGAGTGCGTGCCACGTTGTGGGCGATGTCGAGAGCGTGTTGTTCAAATCGATTTCTGGATGTCATTTTGCCAGCGTGAACCACTTGCGGCGAGCGCAGGAGGATTTTTGCGGCTTGGCATTGTGAGTGACACAATCGATGCATACAGACTCTCTACTGAAACTGGTGCTTTCTGTCTCGGGACGCGTCTATTTGTTTGCTACCCAGCATTCTAGGCTTTTGATTGATTGAATTGAACCTCGCAGAACATCTGCTTGTCTCCCACAGCGCACACAGTAGTTCAGTAATTGTATGTCGTGCAACGGCCCGGAAATATAGTACTCAGAGAAGAAAGTGAGCGGCCTTGAGTCCCTGCCTTTGAAAAAGCAGCACACAGAACTCTAAACAGTCAAGCGCGAATCGTGCATGAATTTAAAAAATGAAGGTTTGCCATCATCGGAAGATTGTGGCAGATACGTTCACTCGGATCTCAAACAGGAAATACCAATTCCATTTCTTCACATACGCACGCTTTGCGATAGCTTGTGAAATTTTCAATGTGAATATAGAACTTCAGAAATTTTATCGGCGCAATGGCTGCAATGGCACCGGCATGCCTGTGTCTCCCTCTTAATTGCGCGGGGTGCACCTTGGATCTCGTAGTTCCTGCCCCCTGTAAGTCAGTCCAACAATCAATACGTCACTCAGAAAATCCGTGCACCGACAAAATATCCGGTCAACGCCAGCGCAGTTCGCAACTTTGGTTTGCATTTGGTCGGCTGATCCACTCAACGGCAGCGCCTGGTTTGCAGGTACTCAAGATATGGACATGGATCAGGATCAAAATGAGGATCCAGTCCACTCAAGATCAAGAAATCCCAACAATCTGGAATCTGACAGGTGCCCCGGCGCTTATGCTGAGCCTAAACGATCGCATACTTCTACCTAGCCCAACTACTGAAGAGTTCAATTTAGGTATAGTTTTGGAACTGTTTGTTTGCTTTCCATGGCGGATCGCACGCTTTCCTTTCTTGCATTGGGAGCGGATAAATCACTCAAGCGGAAGTCGAAGACTATTTTTTGTATTTGCCGTTTAGGGAAGACCTTCTTTTTCCCCTTTTCAACGATGGCAGGCATGAGTCGATGCACCGAGCGTGCAAGTGCGACCTCTGCAGGTCCCATGCCGAAATCGAAATCCAGAGTTCAGAAAATTGGACCCACACTGCAGGTCCTGGCTACCAACGCGGAGGAGATGGGCGCCTTCAAGCTGGCGCGCACGGCTTACCAGAGGTTGCAGACGCTGAGGCTGCCATCGGCCTGGAAGGAGGAAGTAGACCTGCATTCCGTGCTCGTCCGGTCGAAGCCGTTCCTGGACAAGGAGGAGCTCCTGCCCGTTTGCTACCGCTGCGGGACGACAAACCCTCTGCTGAGCAGCCACGTGAGAGACGCGGATCGTAAAGTCATCCACTGAAGAAGGAAAACACCATCCAAGCCATGCAGATTCCTAGTTATGGCAATAATTTTCACGGCTGCCGCAACTGAGATTTCTTATCCAATCCGTAATCAGAATCGTTTTGAACAAGTGTTGTCCAACTTGCTGAAGCATTCAGCATACATTGTCTCCGTTTAACTCACCAAGGTGACTGAAGACCATAGGAACAAAGAGTACACTGCTCTTGTTGTATTTTGATCGCCGTGCCTGTCCTAATCCCTGATGGCCCGTGGGGAACGCGGCGCACCGGATGGGGAATGCGCCGAAAGGATGTAAACAACCAACTGAACAGTTCTGCCAAGTGGGCTGTGAATGGGTCCTCCCACTGAACACAGGACACCAGTAAATTCAGTGGAAAGCGCGCTCGAGAATCGAATGCGGAGATTTGGTAAGGGTGCCTGTTTCGGCGGCGAAATGCAAATCTTCAAAAGTGTTGAGTAGGTGCTGATGATGGGTTACTTCTTTTGTCATTTTCCTTGGGTGGGATCCGCTGCGGAGCGGCATGGATTTATCGAGTCACTGCTAAAGAAGAACCTGCTGAATCTCCGTGGATCTTTATTTGAGACAATATAACAAGATCCTTACAAAGGCTGCGGCCTTGTTCTTTAGGCCGCCCGCCTCCTGATGTCTTGCCTGCTCATCAGCTCCCAACGGTCAATATATGCACACATTAGGCATTCCAGCAATCTCTTGAAGTTTCTCAATGAAATGCGCTCCTCTGCGATTGCCCAAAACTGCGTCGCTTTGCTAGTTTAGTGTGTCGGTATTTCGGCTACGTGATTAGACTGCCGATCTCAGAGGGCTTAACGTGTCGCCGCAGGTTGTCAGACGTTGCGCCAGCACTGTACTTAGCACGCCTCTGTATCTACTTCCGCCCATCAAAATTCGACGCTCAGGTCCCAGTGGCCCCTTGCACAGAAATTTTTGCCTGCCTAATACATCCGCAAATGTTCTCCAACCAAATGCAAATTAAATCGTCGCTGACACGGTACGGTTCAATGCTGCAAGAAGCATCCGGTCACTTTGTCGCTCTCTGCATGTGCTTCAGCGTGCTCACGTGCGTTGTGGTGGCACCCTGCCCTTCAGGGCGACAGATGCGTCACGTGTGGAAACGCATTCATAAGGTCGTTTTTGACGTTCGATCTCCTTCCCTTGGTGGAGTTCATGCTTGAGGACGGCATTAGTCCTGACGAAGCCATGGAAATCATCGGCGAGGAAGCGGTGAGGAACCGGGAGAAGCCCCGGGGGCGTGTCATACTAAGAATGCCTTTTCGGTGAATGTGCCGTGAGTGCGCTTTCTCGGCATCAAGCCCGAGGCGCATTTTCCGGTGCAAGCCCATGACCTACGTTACCGACTTTATTCGTAAGACAGACTGTTGCTGATTGCGTCATCGGGATGCTTTACCCGCAGGTTGCCTGTTGGATGCTCTGTTGTCAGCTGTGGCAAACTGTTTCTGTTTAGTTCAATTTTTCAATTTCAGTTTCGGAGTGTCAAAAATTTCCGGCAGCGCTGCAACAAATACTTTGCAACCAAACTCCTAATCGTGATGTTACACCTTGAACAGGAACCGTGGTCGTGACTGTGACAACGTGAGCTCATGTTTGCAAAAACAACAGTAGGGACAGGAAAAATAGCAACCGTGTTGTCCAAGAGCATTGTGGAGCAGTTGCAACGCTTAGCGCACCCAGTTTTGCCTAATGATTTAAATGCTGGAATTCGGAATTGTACTGCTTTGCAACATTGAGAATGAGCGGGAAATTTGATGGGATTCATTCGGCGCCGTCTGGCGTTGAAAGCCACAGAGCCCGCGATGCAACGACCGCACTTACGACAACCCGCTCGAAGCAGCGAGGGCAAAGCCACCGTTTGGGAGAAGCAGTTGTGCATGGGACAGCGCTCGACCTCTTTCATCGCCCATGGCGATGGCTTGTCCCATCTCGATGGGTGCAATCTGTACGGATGGACACCAGTGTGACCACAGCACAGTAGATTGCACTAGTGCGTACTGATTTTATGATATTATGATAGTATTTTGTAGTAATGTGTACATGTGCACATAGCACAGCAGATTTCTTGATGGCGATGACGGCCGCCATAGCGCAGCGGCATTTGTTTTCGACAACTTGACTGTTCTCAGCCGTTCTTCGCCTTGATATGCAAGAATCCTTGGTGATGGCGACTGTTCTCAACATTCAGACCAATCCCTCCGCCCGTCCGTCGGGCGCCAGGGAGCGCATCGATGAGGACGCCCAGGTGCTGACGCTGGACGACCCGGCCGACGCGGACGACGCGCTGGACGACCCCCTGTCGTCCCAGACGGCCGTCCCCAACGTGCCGGTCGTCGCGAACCGCCGAGCCCTGAGGCGCCTGAGCAGGTCGGAGGTCGTGCCGTGGAGGCCGCCGCACGCGGCCCTGGCCGTGCGCTTCTTCAGGCTGGTGGACACTTCCATGCCGGTGCGCTGCGGCGCGTGCGGCCACTTCTTCGAGGAGGATGAGTTCGAGATGGCGGTGCTGGAGAGCGGGCGCCTGCCGTTCACCAGGGAGCCCGCCCCGGGGGAGGGGAGTCTGGAGGGACCGCTGTAGCTTTGGGCGCGAGTTTGCTTGCGGCTTCGGGGTTGAAAATAGGAGGTTTGTGTGTTGGGTGCGGCCCTTGTTTGGTGCTCGTATTCATGTGGATGAGCTTGTGTTGGGTGCGGGTTTTGTGGGTGCTAATGTTCGTATAGTTGAGCCTGCACAAAGGTCGGAGTCGCACAGCCCTGGAGCGTCTGTATGTGAGGGAAGTGAGCGGATGCGAGTTTGTCTGCGCGTGCAGTCTGAGTTTGCCCTGAGGGCGAAGTTTTATACACAGTTTTAATGCACATAAGCGGTGTCAAATTGATCACTTCGGCAGCGGAGGGGCCTGCTTTTTGTTTCAACAGTTCAGCCTGACGGGGATGCCTCTCGCATCTGTCTCGCCCGATGAGCATTGTCCAATTGGCCCATCGCCCGTTAGCACAGCGCGCACACCTCAATCCCTTTTAAAGCACAGTAACCCATGATCGCACACCCCTCTTTTCCGATGCGTGGTGGCCCAGACTATAGTGCCCAAGCACAGCACACCGTACTTCGCTTGGCGCAAACATCAACAAGCACCCTTACTTAGAGTGTGTTGTACGAAGAGAACACTAAGCTCCAACAGGGCCCGAAGGCAAATCGGATTGGAAAAGTCGATTCGGACTGCAGCGCAGGTTGAGTGAATGAGGGAGCTGGCTGGGCTGAACCCATGCGTTGCAGGCATCACTGGCTGTGGAGAATTCATGTCAGGCACCAGCCTTTAGCCAAGAGTGCCTCGGAAGGGAAAGGCCAGGAGTGTGCGTTTGACGCCTCAAAGCAAGACATCAAAGAATCCTTAGCACAGCCTGAAAATGAGAGCACAAGGGTACCGGGAGACGACAACTGCCTAGCTTCCGCGCTGTTCCAGAGAACACTGCGGGACGTGGCTGGACTGGTGGCAGCTTTGTCAATTGTAAGCAATCTTAAGTGTCACGGCAAAACAGAAGCTGAGGCCACCGCGAAAGCGGGCGCGAAGGTCCAAGTTAGGTCGAAAAGCTCTGATTTGGGCCGCCGCTTGTGATCAGACTGCCGTACGTGTACCGCAGCGGAGTCCAACACGTTTGGCAACTCCGGGACCCACACACCGCGCTTGCCATTTTTTGCGCGGATGTCGCAGTGTGCTTGCCATCCCCGACACCAAATACGGAACACATCGGCACCCATTTGCGTGGCGGCCCCAAGGACGTCCCACCTACGTTGCCGCGACGGAGTCCAGGGCGGTGCCGCAGCAAGGGCCGCTTTCAGAGCCGGAGACCAACCGCCGCGCAGGCGGGAACGCGACACTGGGGATATACCTACCCCCGGTGCTGCGCTGCCCTCAGCGGTACATTTTGCATTTGGTCCGCTGTACGCCGATCCCGGCGGCAGCACGAAATGGTGAGGCCCCCTTCTTCGCCATGAGCTGTTGGTGATGGCCGCGATAGGCGGATTGGCTGAACCGGGTTTGGTGGCAGGAGGGGGATGCTGAGCTGGACGCCATCCGCCAACGGCGCATGGCGGAGCTGATGGGGCAGCGAGGAGCCGGCAAGGTGTGTCCCCCCCCGATGAAGGTTGGGTTGGGAGGGTTGGGTGGAGCAGGCACACGACAGCAGATGGGCGCAGGGCGCTGCACGGATTAATTGGCATGGTCTCCTCTGTCGCCAACGGGAATCCGCTAAGGCGTTTGGTGCAGTTGGGCCGGTGTGCCTGTTGGGAGCGGAGGTGTCTTTGGTTGGGGCGCATTTGAACTTGCGTAATTGTTGTGGAAATGTACAGGGGGCTCCGGGATCGTGAGAGCTGGGTTGGTTTTGTGGATGCAGGGTCAAACCCCGGTGGAGCAAGAGGAGCGAGAAGCTCAGGAGAGGTGCGCGGCAGGCTCCTTTGTGCGGCGTGAATGATCTTGCTTTCTCCTGAGTCGATGAGCCTCAAGAGCGTGTGTTCATGTGGTCCCTTCTTCCCGTTTAAGAGGGGGAGGGTCCATATGTGGCAACCATGCATTGAAGCACAATCAGGTGCAGGCGCAGTCTGGTTGGGGTGAAGGTACAGCGTTGGATGACAGGAATCGAAGCGGAATTTCAATCAATGGGAGTAATTTGATTGGCTGAATTATTTCAACTTCATTGCAGGGATGCTGAGGATCAAAGACAGGCTATGCTGGCAAGCATTATGCAACCTGAAGCCAAACAGAGGCGTGAGTTGTTGCAATGGTTCCCCTGGTGCATGCGTTCACGGGTATTCCTGTTAGCTTCAAGGTGTTGTGGCATGCCGTGAAATGCTCAAGTCATTGCAGATCACTGACTGGTACTTTGGTGTCTCAACTGCTTGCTGTCAACTTGATGGCACAGCACGTCTGTATCCCAAATCATAGCCTGCACTGCACAGGCTTTATTTTGGCTGAGCATCTGAGGCATATTCCTTCTTGTTGTGCTCTAAACCTCCTTTCGCACAATATGCTGAAATTCTGTCCTTGAACCTCTGCTACAATACCACATCACAGTATCCAGCCATCAACTGGGCATTGAATTCTGTGTGATGTCTATTGTTGGTGCTCCATGAGTAGCATCTGTCGCAAGAGACTTGACAAGGAAAGCCCTTGCCCCTTAAAAGGTATTGAAGGGTGCAGAAATATTCAATCAACATTTGATCAAGCCCCAGACCTTGTTTCGCACACTGTCCATTGAGGCCTATGTGGTCTGACCCTTTTGGTGCCGTGTAGATGTCGCTGCCTCTGGCTGTGCCTCACTGCTGTCTGGGTTATCTATTTTGTGTTGTACACTGGCTAATGAATGTGCCAATTTGCACAGTGGCACGCATCGCCCTGGTGAAGCCTGACAAGGCACGTGGAATAGAGAACATGCTGCTGATGCAGGCCCAGACTGGAAGGCTCACCGAAAAGGTGAGATGTGTGTCCTGTCATTGATCTGTATTCGCTGGTGATGAAGGAATTAACCAATCAGCTAATTGACAAGAATTTGATTGGCAAGAGTCGTGAGCCACTTGCTTGCTTTCTGCACGAGTGGAAAGGGAAGATGGCAGTCACTCGGGCGAAATGGCACTTGTGGGCAGATCGTGCTATTGATTTTTTGAAAGGAAACTTGAGACACACAGGGTATCATGCCCTCGAGCAGCTGTTTTGACAAATTGGTTTGTTCAGTTAGGATTGGTGCGAAAACAGAGAAAAGAAGTGCTTGGAGAGCAAGAATGGGCTGTGGGGAGTGTGGGCGACACTAACAATTGGCAGTTGTGGATGGGCAGATCTCAGAAGGGCAGTTGATCCAGCTTCTTGAGCAGGTCAATCAGAGCACCAAGGACAAGACAAAAGTCACCATCCAACGCCGCAAGAATGTACTCGATGACGACGACGATGCTGACTTTTAGCTCTGGCTGGGCGCTTGCCAGGAAGGAGGCCATGGCCTTTGCTGCGAAGAGAGTGTATCCTTGTTTCGTTCTTGCCTGGTGCAGCACCATGCGTACTCATTGGTGATCCCTAGTCTCCGCAGTAGCTGCAGCAGTGATGGATTGTATTCTAACTGCTGTTCCAAGCATCATTCCAGGCTATGTGCATTCCCTGAGTTTTTTCCGTGCGTCTTGGTGGTTGTTTCTGGGGCCCAGGAGACAATGGAGTGGTGTTCCGTGATTTTGGCTCTCTGTGGGTGTTGCTTGCCGTTTGATGCTTTTGGCGACCAACGATGACAAGGAAAGGGATGATGACGAGAGTAGAAATGCCTTGTGGAGTGTGATTGGTCATATCCAGCAATCCATAGCAGGGGCAATCCACAGCAGCATGTAGGATATGGGGAGAGTAGAAAACATATTGTAAAATCGTCAGCAATATTGAGCACACTCACACAGACTACAGAAGTCAGTACTTCTGCGCGATTTAAGCAGGGCTATCAATGTCGCGCTTTTTCTTTGGGGAGTGAGGAACAAGACATTGCTATGCCAATGTTGGACAGCTTTAGTGGTATATGTATTCAACAGCTGCTGTGGCAAAAGGTTTGCTTGAGCGTGCATGGTGCTGGCGCTCTTGGATTGCCACAGAATGTGGGCCCTCTGGTTGGATGTGTTCACTTCTGCGCCTCCACTGCGGCGCTGAACCGTCGCGAACACAGCGACAGGCAGTGGCAGCACCTCAGCGCGTCATCCGCTGCGCACAGAGATTTTACCGTTGCAACTACTTGCTCAGCACAACAGGCTTGTTTATTCTCTCAATTTTCGTCATACAAATACACCAGAGCCCCATATCCCCCGCCGCCCCTCCTTGTCCTCTCGAATGGGCCGACCACAGCTCCCGACAGCGCAGTCAGGCCTGCTTGCTGATCATCATTGCACAGAACTCTTCATAGTCAATCCTCCCGTCGTCGTCCTTGTCCACTTCCGCCAGGATCTGCCTGACGCTGTCCTCCGAGCTGCCGGTCTCCCTGAGGCCCTCGATGAGCTCGTCGTGCGTGATGTAGCCGCTGTTGTCGGTGTCAAAGTGCTTGAAGGCCATCATCAGCTTCTCGTCGTTCTGCAGGCCGCGCAGGTTCAGGGTGGCCGCCAGGAACTCGTTGTAGTCCACGACGCCGTTCCCGTCGACGTCCATGTCGTCCATGAGGCGCTGCAGCTCGGACTCGGGCAGAAATTCGCCCTTGTTATGGAGGCCCTGCGGAACAGGCAGCACGCGAGCGTGTCGCGGCCAGGTGCAACATTTGCGAACGTTTGTGGCCATCGGATTGGCATTCGAATCCGGCCTGACAATGCAGGGATTCCAGAAGAAGGCCCGGTCTTTGGCTGCAAGGAACACCTGCCCTGAAGCAACAACGGCTGGCAATGGCGGTCAGCTCTGGGCAGGTGCACTTTCAGACCCATTGTCGGAACAGGATTGGACAGGACGCGAAATTACGGCCAGGCTCAACAGGCGCCTCTTGTCGCGGCAAGTGTCAGTAGCAAATCGTGCAAGGGCTGTGTGACTAGTTACGTTGCACGATGATGGAAGTCTGTGCAGCTGAGATGCCGAAGCGCCAACCCAGCCGAATTACGCAACGGACAGCTGCCTCTTGACGCACGGAAGAGCGCATTCCCCTTTTCCTCGTCTCTGCGTCAATACACCTAGTTCTTGACGCACCTTTCTTAGTTCATCCACTGTGATAGTCCCGCTGTTGTCTGCATCGATCTCATGGAACATGCGCTTCAAGCCTTCGATCTCTTCTTTTGGCATGCACGTGGCAATGACTTTGAACGCCTCCTTCTTCAGCTTGTTCATGGCTGAAAAGTGCTGGATGCGGGACACAATTGAGTGGTCCAGCGGTTCCTCGGATGCTGTGCCATCCTCCTTCAGCCACGGGTGCTGAAGGAGCTCAGACGCAGACGCCCTTTCCCTGAAAGATGCACAGAGCAAACGCATTGGAAGAGCGACAACGTGGTGTGGTGGATCAACAGTTCAGTTTGCACAAAGCCAACGACAATCGCTTCAACAGCAACCGTTGCGGAACAAGAAACGGGCTGGCCCAACCATTTCCTCCACCTCGAATATCTCCATGTTCTGTGAGCCCCAAACCACATTTCCAAAAGTATTGGTGCATTATTGGGGCGCCTGCTCCAATACTCCAGAGAGATTCCAGGCAGAATGGAACTTCGCAAAAGGGATTTGCAACTGTACCTTCGCATTGTGCGTCTGCTCGGGCTGCGCCACTTTGTTGTGCAATCCCAACATCATAACAACAAACATGGAGAAGAAGTGTGGGTATCTCCTCCCCAAGGAGAATGTCTGCACGGTGCTTCGTCAGTGCAGGTAGCGACATTTCTCAATTATATCCGTGCTGCGCAAATCCACATGGGCGATCACCTTGGTTCGCGGCACAGCATCAGCTGCACGCAGTCCTTGGCACCCTTGGATATTCTGGGCCAGGGGCCGCTCTCCAGGTCCAGACTTCCCTTCAGAATAGAGTCGAATATCTGTGCCTCCGTCCTGCCATTGAAGGGCGGCGTGCCAGACAGCAATATGTACAGGATGACCCCACAGCTCCAGATGTCCAGCTCCTTGCCATGGTGCTTCTGCAGCACCTCGGGTGCCACGTAGTAGGGACTGCCCACAATGTGCTCGAGGACCTGGCCAGACATGCATTCGAGGGTGCTCAATCGATCAACATATCAGTCCGTCTGGGCAGGAGTTTGTTGATGGCTCACCAGATATTTCGCAGAAGTGAACAAAAGGACGATGCATGCAAAAACCTCGAGATCTGCGCATTGTCGTCCAATGTGGACAACAGTATTGTCGCACCTAATCTTGATCAGGAATAAGCGGGGGGAAAATGTTTCCCTTCTCTCAGAATGAGACTAACCCTCAGTACCCACCTCGCCTTCCTGGAAGAACACCGAAAGGCCAAAGTCGATGGCCTTCAGCATGGGCTCATCCCCTCCGTCTACCAACAAGAAGTTCTCTGGCTTCAGGTCACGGTGGATGACCCCCATCTTGTGGCAGTGGCTCACCACCTGCACCATGTTTAGAGGCGGTCCCTTTACTTGCACTCAACAAAGCGTGGCGGTCACTACACATGCAGGCAGCGACGGGATAATTCCATCTGCACATGGTGTGTTCATAAACTCCCATCCTTTCTCAGCATTCACACAATCCATTTCGAAAACAAAAGAGCACAGGAGTTGCAGTTCTCTGCAAAAATGGGCTGCTCTCTGTGGACTGCTGACAGAAATAGGCCTGCACGTACGGCCGCACAATGGGCCGCACCTGCACCATGGTGCGGCATGCCGTGGCTGCGTCCCTCTCAGAGTACCGCCCCTTGGACACGATCCTGTCAAGGAGCTGACCACCGCTGCACAGCTCCATCACCAAGTGTATGTGGTGGCGGTCTTCGTAGACACCCTTGAGCTGCACGATGTTAGGGTGGCCCGCCAAATGATGCATGACCTGCAAGCGGGCAGGGCACACCAGATGGAGCTCAGGGCGAGCGTCGATCCCCCCAGGGGATCACAAAGACAAATTGAGGCCTTCCAGTTGCAAAGATTGTGACAAAAATTTCACTTGTTACATTACCGCTTGTCGCCGGCACAAAGTTGGGCAAGGAGCACATCATGGATCCCACTTCTTTAGGATGCCAGATATGTAATACACAGATCGAAGGAAAATCCAGGAAAGTTCGTCTTGTGATCCTCTTTTCTCACCTCTATTTCTCGTTCAACTTCCTCAGTGCCAAGTATCTTCCTCTTTAGTATGGATTTACAGGCTGCCTTCTCCGTTGTGGCGCGGTTCACGGCCATCCTGGTAATGCCAAACTTCCCCTGTCCCAGCTTCTCGCCCAGCTCATACTCGGCTTCGATGTCAGGGGTTTCTCTACACAGGACCCGTCGAAAACTCTTTGCTTCTTTTCTAGATGTTGGAATGGACAATTGCTGCACCAACATGGAAAGTGCACAGTATCAAAAAACACATGCAGCTGTGCAGAGCATGTGCCAATTGCTTAACAGTTACTTTCATTCGGGATGATTTTGGGAGGGCACTCACTGCCACATTTGTTTTGCAGTTTTCACAACCAATTGGATACATCTGACATTCGACTGACTCCCGGCAGTTTCTTTTCCTTGCCTATGACAACTGCAGAGGTGCACGCCATGATGACGAAGGATCGGGCTTCAGGTCATTGTGGCTCGCTCAAACGTTGCAAGTGTTTTGGAATTGAGGATAAAACCCAAAAAGACAAAACTGAGACAAGAAAACTTGCTTGGGCTGTTCTCCGGAACTAGTCTGCTGCAATGAACACCATAGGTGCCATCTATAGGTGACGTCTTATGACGATTCACAACAAAAAATCATGGCAGAATAGCATAAAAGATACAGAACAGCTGCTTCGACGCCCACAACATGTTAGCTGAGCCTGAGTTTTTCTCCATTACGGATACATTTTTTCCATTACGAATTCAGTATCCTGTGAATGTAGTTGCTTGCATGGGCAGCATAAGAACTAATTGCTGCATACCAACTGCTCAGCAAACTCCACAGGCGAACGTGTCCTCTCCAGCAGCTCTGCAACAGCATTGTGCCCATGCTCTTTCGCCAACATCAGCGGCATCCACCCGTTCTGTATGGTAAGGCAATGACTCAGCACACGAGTGGATGCCTGACATCCGAGTTAGTTGCAGCCAAGACATAAAATACTCTGGACATTGCTGATTATATGAATTGCCCATTCTGAATCAAATCCAGGTCAATAATACAGCCACGATGGTTTGCCTGCTGGGCCCAGGGCAAAAGCTCCAGTGCTGTGTGCTTGAAGCACACCCTTTCAAATCAAAATATCCTGCCATTGCAGTACTGTAACAATTCAGTCCGTGACAATGGTGCCCAGACTTTCAGCATTGCCAAGACAAACTGATGCGCTTTGTGTCACATTTTGAATCAGCTGGAGCGATCACGCAACAGGCCCTTGGGTTTGGGGACGTTACCAAAGTAATCATGCATGGCACCCCATTGGACTCGAAGACTCCGAGTTGCAATGTTGCAGCAACTGAACTCAAGGTCACAGTAAATGGACCAGTCACATGTTCCACACCGCAATCCCTCCCAGCCACAGTTTCAATCTGGTCTCGCCCAAATTTCATGCCTTAAGTCGCACAGAATATTTAAACCCAGTCAATGGAACACAGATAGGGGCAAGCACCTGGACAACTACAGCGATGCATGAGGAGCATACAGACTGGATGCCAGCTTCAGCAATCCCACATGCACCCTGTCTGCACAGAGGCATCCAACAACAAGCGTGTTTCTCCCTACATTGCATATTGTGTGCTGCAAAGTTACAAACATCGACCTGAACAATACCTTGCTTGCAACAGCTACGGATGCAAATTTGTCCAGCAGGACCTTCGCGATGTCCAGGTGGCCACCATGTGCTGCAAACATAATGGGGGTCCAGCCATTCTGCACGTGCAGGCATTTCATCAGCCCATCAAAACTAGTATGCAACATTCTATCTTTTGGCGCAACAACACACCAATCAGGGCGGAGTTAAAAATGAATTCGGTGCATGCCCCACAGGATGAGGAGTGGAACGCCTACTGTGGTGTTAACACCAGAAAGCCAAAACAAGGAGTCCACAATGTTTCACAGCCGGACACATTACAGACACACCCATGATACGAATATCGCGATAGCACAACCTTGCTAATGCATTTTCTAGCAACACAGCTTCATAGGAACCCCAGAAATTAGAAACAACAGAACAAAGCAGTTGATGCATCCCAATACCAGCTCTGTGCAAATACATCTGTCAAGGCAAAAAACTAAAGCTCGTGCATATCCAAGCATTGGCATCTGAAATCTCACCAGTTCTGTAAAATTCACGTTTGCACCATGTGCCAACAGCAGCTTTGTTGCAGCTGAATGGCCTCCGCGTACAGCCAGCATGAGGGCAGTCCAGCCATTCTGCATGCCAAGACACTTTGTTACAGGTGGACTGTTGAATTTTTCTCCCTTCCCATTGTTCTTGCATTATTGTCGCGTTGGCTATTCGCTGGCATGTTGTCCAATAGAATGCACACCAACCTCAACAGCCAGATTCTGAGCGTGCAAGCACTCTCGACAATAGAACAGCTTCCTTTGACTCCTGAACAAAGGATTCTGTTGCTTGAAGTTCGGGCAATATCTGCAACCCCGTTTTATGGTTCTGAACAAAGGCATTTGTTGCTTGAAGTTTGGCAATATCTGCAACCCTGTTTTATGGTTCAGAGTCATTTGTCATATGACACTGAGATGCCTGCAAGCAGTTGCAACTTGCTATTGCTACCTTGTTAGCTGTGTTGACAGAAGCGCCTTGTTTCAACAGCAGCTCCATCGTGGCCACATGGCCCCCATCGGCTGCAAACATGAGCGGAGTCCAGCCGCCCTGCACACTCACAAACTCTCCTAAAATAGAGAAGCGGAAATGATGGGCTCTCATTTCGCATGGCCTATCTCCAACCAAAGTTATTTCCAACAATTTTGCAGGCCATGGCGTAATGAGGTGTTTAGGTTGGCACATTCAGGATGCACACACTGCCCTTCACTGCAGCACACCAAAGTGTCTTGGCATCATTGGCCAACAAGAGCATAAGCAATCACAGAAACAGGAACTGTCGACAGTGAAGAATCTGTTGTGTAGGTGTCAAGATGTTGCAACATGGCAACCCCTGGTTGTGGATTCGTCCAACCAGGGCACCACACCTCAATGAACACTCTAGCATTTCCTGATCACTGTTCATGAAACCAAAGCCCTTGCTGTGCTTCAGTCTTTCAAACTGACTGTTCCACCTAACTTTCATAACATGCTGCCACAGCACAAGCAGGCTGTTTGCATGGAAAACTGGCCAACCATGGGCATCCAAATCATGGTCTTTTCTTTTGTTGAAAGCGGCAAACAAAGACAACTGTCCTGGTACCTTGCACCCTACAATCCAAACTGCCTGACTGGTTGCTGGCAACCAGCAAAGTAAACAATGTGTATCACTGCATTGTTCCTTCCCTGTCACCTTGTGGCAAGCACTGACAGAGGCTCCCTGGTCCAGGAGAAGCCTGACAATGGAAGTGTGGCCCCTGTCTCCCGCGAACATAAGGGCAGTCCGGCCATTCTGGAACAAAAGAATTCCTCAGTGCTGGCTTGAAAGTTCAGCAGCCATAGCTTGCTTTCCAAGATTGCATTCTACAAATTGGAAGGCCAAGGAAAGCAGATTTCCAGCATGAAGCAAGCCATTCCCTGCGCAATTGAGGTGCATGTCAAGTATTGAGGTGTCTCTGCATTGTTTGTTGCCCTGGGGGCCAGTGTACTTTATGTGCCCATGTGTTGTACAGTTTTTCTTTTTTACTGCCAAGCACTGCGAGGTCCCTGTAGACTGGTACAAAATGGCACTGTCTTGTGATCTGGGACACCAGAAACTTGCCACGATCAGTGCCTTGTTCTCCTTGCTGTGCACAAAGACCTTATTCCTGGCAATAAACGATGCTTCCTCTCTGCAGTGGAAACCAAATGTTGGGACAGAACTGCACCTTATGGCCCACTACAACTTCATTTCATCACATCTGCAAGAAGTACACAGTCCAGGAGCAGCATGGCAAGAGCTGTGGTACCTCATTGGCAATGTCCACAGTTGCACAGCGGCTCAGCAGCATCTCAGCCATGTCTCCATGGCCACCATCAGCTGCATACATGAGTGGCGTGTCGCCCATCTGCACACAGCAGGAGTCCCTCATGTCACAGCAGGGTTGACCCTAAAGCCATGCTGATAATGAATTTGACAATGTCGACAGCAAGCTTTGTCTGCATGCTCATTGTCTTTGGTGATGGCATGCAAAAGAGTTCTTGGCAATCAATGTGTTTCCAAGGCCCCTAGGCATTCTGCAGCTGCCCAGCAGCCAGAATCCATGAGGCAATGTTGCACAGGCCCAACAGGCACAAGACTATTCACCTTGTTGGTCATGTCCACTGATGCTCCTCGGTCCACTAGCAGCTCTGCAGTGTCCATATGACCTCCATCTGCTGCAAGTATTAACGGTGTCCAGGAGTTCTGCACATGGAGCCACTTTCTCAATGCATGGAGAAGGTGTGCCATTCCAGCCGTTTGTCACATGCCTTCATGACTCATAAAGAACAGCAGAACCCAGGTGCATTTTGCCCAGCACGGGTGTAAAGATGATGGGGCCAGATTCTTCCCCTGTGCCAACTTTGAACCACTGAATAAGTGTGGGACAGATTACTTGTAACAGCAGGACAACAGCAAACTGATGATGAGCACCTCCTCCAGTGATCAACACACTGCAGACATCTACCAGTGCAAGCCAAATTCCCCAATGCAAGTTGCTGGGTTGTTCAAATAGGCAAAGAAAGCTGCTCAGGTCACACATTGAAACAGACCTACCCATCAAAGAAGTGGGTGACATTTTGTGTTGCAACTGAACGAAAGAGAACGACGTCATGAACAGCTCCCATACTTAGGAACACAAGATAATTGAGGTTTCCATTCCTTGAGCAAGAGGCTGCTTGCTAGATCAAATGCAATATGTTGTCACCTGCTTAGTCAAGTTGACACATGCACCCCGGTTGAGTAGCAGCTCCGCAGTAGCTGTGTGGCCATTTTCAGCAGCAAACATGAGCGGTGTCCAACCATTCTACACATCAAAGTTGTGTCAGTTCTGCAAACCTGTGGCATCTGAGCAAATTGAAGCTTGCAAATAGCGTAGGCATCCATGCACACATGCACCGACTTTCTTGTCACATGAGCTCCTCACGGTACATAAACATTTAAACCTGTACTGCTACAGTAGCAAGCACATTGACACCAACATTGGTTATCAATGAAAACATCTCAAATATTAATGAGCACGTTTATCTGTACATCTTATGGTGGTCACCTTTACTGGAAACAATATATGTCAGCACACCATTTTCTGGCCTCAAAAGGCTGCAATGTCCTGCATTGAGATGTAGCGTAGTCAACCTGTTGCACCACATTCCCTACGCTCTCAAAAGGTGCAAAAAAAGGACATGGACAGATCAGGAGCATCACTCTGAGCAACTTCAAAGATCGCAGCTGAAATTGTGGCAACTCACATGGTCTTCACTGTCCACGTTGCTCTCTGTTAGCTCCAGTGTGGTCATCGCTGTGAGACCTTGTTCAGCTGCCCAGTGGAGACACGTTGTGCCTTTCTGCAGGGCATTGCCACACAACATGTCATTGCACCTGTGCCTGCCCCTCAAGGCACAAAGTCGTGCCCATCCAATGGCCTTGTGCACAGCAATATGCAAGGATACTCATAACCTAGCTGCAATGGCAGCCACAGTCGCACTGACTCCAGCCAATTCATGAGCATCCAGTTAATGTGGCATAGCGATTGTTGATGAAGTGGAGCCACTGCCTGGAACAAGTGTGGGGCCCATCGCAGGCACATCTGCATGTCCCAGGACAACAACATTTGACATCTCAAAGCGAGAGAGAGCTGCTACCAGGAGCATTTCATCAATACTGTGGCATGCGCATGATAAACAGGGTTGTCATGTTTTCCACCGACTGTTCTCATAACTTGTGCAGCTCCACATGGCCGTGCCAAACCAAAACTGCATATCATACATTGTTGTGCTGCTCCACGCAGCTGTATCAGAGCTCTCCTTTCCAACTTTTTATCTTCTCCTCTGGCTTTGCAATAAAAGGCCCCAAACTGCGAAGCAGCACAAGTAAGGCTCATTTGTCCCAGACCGTCACCCCTCTCACTACCTGCTGCTTCGCACACATCTCCAAACAGCTGCAGACATCATCCATCGACGGCCGTTCTTTGGGATCCATTGCACAACAGGCACGCATGAGCTCCAGAATCTCGCTCCGCCACAGCATCCTCAACTGCTCGCTGATGTGACAGGGCTCCTCCCCACAGAGCTTGGCCCTCATCACTTCTGCTGCAGTCGTCCTGTGTCGGTAAGGCAACTTCCCTGTGACCACCTCGTACATCAGGGTTCCAAAGCTAAAGGCATCGGACTCCATGCTTGGAACCGCACCCTCGTACAGTTCCCCAGCAGTCCATCTCACAGCCCGAGAGACGCTGCACGTGGAGTTTGAGCTGTCCGGTGCCACCCGCAGCCCCACAATCTTAACGATGCACCCTTCACCCTTCTCGTTTCCAAACATCAGGAAATTGGTGCTTTTGACAGCACCATGCACGATGCCATGGCCATGCACAGAGTAAAGTGCCCTCGCAGCCTGGGAGAGAGCCCCTATCTTCAAAGCAACAGCACAACGGTCCACTGCAGTCAGTGACCGATACCATTGCCTCATGTTGTTTTTAGCCGACTCCATCACAAGGGCACCTGCCTTGGTGACCCCACGCAGCTCAACCACATACCGGGAGTCCAAGAGTGTCTGGCTGAATGCTGCATTGAAGAACTTCATCAAGTCCTGCATTTCCATGTTGTAGCCGTCCGTCTGAACGACTTGCTTGGCCACCAAGCTAGATTGGTTGTATTTTGGCAATTGAACATGCCAGACATCTTTGGCTATGACGCCCAAACGAATGATGTCCTGTTCAGGTACAACTGACAGCTTCCACCTCTTCTCAATGAACCTCAACCTAGCACGTTCCCATGGGCGTCTGGCCCCCTCACCAACACCCTCAAAATCGAATGAGCGATCTTCGAATAGGCGTGCAAGGCACTCATTCAGATCCTCCCTGTCTCGTGAGGAGCACATCGCTGGCACCTCTGTTGCAATCCTTGGTGCGTTCTGCAAATCCCACCGGAGCGCAAATGAGTGTACAGCATTGAGGACTCGCTCGACAGCCCTTTTGGCATCTGCGGTCTTGCAGAAAAGCTCATCATCGAAGACACTGAGCTGTCTGAGCAGCTGCAATCCAAGCTCCAGGTGATCCCGTAGGTTTGCAGCGTCTTCTCTCCACTGTTGCTCTGGCGCATCACTTGGCATGACCAGTGGCCGCTCCAAGCGCCGCACATTGCTCTGCAAAAAATGCGCCATGCGCTGACCGTACATTGTGCTGTTTGTCCCCTCTATTTCCTCGATGATGTGGTCCAGATGGTTCCCCAGTTGCACAGCCTGTTTGCAGCAGTTCAGAATGTTATACCTTGCCTACACAGCTTGCTGAGATCCTGCAAATACATTTGCTCCCACTTCTCAGAGGATATGACAGCGATTTGACAAGGCAGAGTTGACTATAGTATCATTCCAAATCTGGGCCACAATGAGCACAGTTGAAAAGCCCCTTGAAACCAACAGGCAGTTGAGTTCGGTGGAGAGAAGAACAACAACGACAATGAATATCCAGGGGGAGATGCTTGCTACCATCACCTTTGGCAGCTGATCCATTTCCTTGCACTCATTTGCAGGTGGCACCTGGGACACAGATAAGTGTGTCAAGGACGGCATACAAACTCAGCCTCCAAGTCTGTCTCCAGTAGTGCTCAACTACACATGTGCCTGGGCAGGCTTAGTCAACATCCGCATGTGCGGATAAAGATAACAGACAATACCATTGCTTGCAATCGGGTTGGAACACAGCGGTAGCACAACACCTGGACTGCAAACAATAGAACTTTGATGCGATTTCCCTACCAACACAAAATGTGGAACTGCAAACGAAGTGTTCCTCAAGGTTTGTTGCGAAATGCACAAGGCAGTGACGCCTGCTCTGTTTCTCAACGGCTTGAACATGCCATGCATGTGAAAGGAGCACATTCAGTCAGGAATCAGTACGCACCAGCCACTTGTCTGGCAACAGCTGGAGCAGGCTGCTCACTTCGGCCATGTGAGGTCTGCTCTGTGGGTCCAGGCGACAACACCGCTTCATGAGTTCCCGCATTTCTTTGGGGCAGTCCCTGTCTTCCACAACGCAAGGCTCTTCCTCTTCCAGCTTTTTCCTCATGATCACCAAATCCTCCACACAGCCAGGAATCGTCTCATAGGGATTCCTTCCCGTCACAACCTCGTACATAATGACCCCGAAACTGAAAACGTCCGACGCAGTGGTGGGCGATTCAGCATTGTAAGTCTCCGGAGCGATGTACTGTGGGGCACCCTCTCCCAGCCTGGCAGTCTTGCTCCTGTTGCCCCGCAGTTCGCTGGCATGGCCAAAGTCGCTGACTTTGACAAGATATTCTGCTGGGGTCTTGCCAAAAACCAGAAAGTTCGTGGGCTTGACGTCTGAATGGATGAGGGGATAGGTCTGGCAGTGCATGCGGCTCAGGCCCAGGGAGGCCTGCTGAAGCAGCTTGAGCCTCACCTTCCAGCCCAGCGCCCTGTCACGACTCGCAGCATGCAGGTCAGTGTCTGCTAGTTCCATTACCAACCACCCATCCAGAGTGGCGGCATAGAGCTGGACAACAAAGTCGCAGTCCCTCAGTGCTGCCTGCACAGCTGCCTCCTGGATGAGGCACGCATACTCTTCAATGGGAACATGGCCCTTTGGCTTCTTTACTGCCACCTTGCCAGCCTGCTCAGACCATTCAGCTTGGAACACAACAGCAGATCTACTCTCCCCCACACAGTGTCCCAACGTCAACCCTCCTTGATCCACAACCCTCAGGTGTACCAGTCGCCTCTCATGCTCCTCTTTCAAAGGGTCCAACATCCGCATCAGCTCGTCATCGATGCCAGTGCAGTCCCCCTTCAGGATGTAGCTCAGCAGCATCTGCAGATGCAGCTCATCCTCCTGGACATCCTCCTCAGGTATCTCGTCCTTAAATTCCAATGTGTCATGCATTCGCCAGCACTGAAGGATCTCCTTCAGGCTCTGGCACACGCCCTCCACCCCCGTGCGGAGGCGACCGATGCTGCAGAAGTCCCTCACATCGAAGGGTGCCCTGCTGCAGGCAAGCAGCCTCTCCCCTTCCTCAAGCTTCGAGTCGAACAATGCCACCTCCTCTTGGGATGCGGCCCTTGGCGATGTGACGGCCTTCACCTTGTCGAGTTGCGTCTTGAGGAACATCATCATTTTACGATTGTACTGTGTGCCGTATGCACTGTGCTCAGTCTGCATTCAGGGCAAAATCGACGATCAGAATGAGCAGGGCCACCAGGCAAAGACTCCAGAAGAAAGGGGAAGCTTGCCATACATAGGGCAAACCCTCCTGAGGCAAAGATTCCTTTTCAGTCTGAGCTACAGTGGACGAGTGTTCGAATGCAACAAGAACGGCAATGCAAGTCCACTTCCGATTACAACAGCAGCCAGGCCACAGGAAAGGGTGAGCATGACTGTTGTCTGAGTCCTGCAGAAGCATGTGGAGTCCGTTGGCTATGTCAGATTTGTGGCCATTCGCTCGGTTCAACCCCTGACAGCGACACTGATCGCAACCCACAGGCATTCTTTGCAGATTTCCCACGGAAAGAAAGGCAACTTGCAGCCCTGCATGGCACTGCCTCATACACACAAGGGGAGTGTTCCACCAGGTCTCTTCAAAAAGGTTACAGCTCATATTCGTTGCACCACTAAGAGGTCACGTGAGCTCCAAACAATGCAAAAGTATGAACTGGTGACTTGGCTTCCATGACTTTCAGCATTTGCTCCTGCTCCCTTTCTTTGCCCCCTGACACTCCCTCCTGGCCGCAGCATCACGCTTGTGAGACACCATAAAGCCTGGCGCCAGGCCGCTGCCAGCCGTTGAGCGCAGTACCAAACAATTGCACAAGCCTGCATTGAATTCGGCTGTAGCAGAATCAAGGGTGAGTCTAGTCCCGCTGCCGGACACCGTCGAAGGCAGCTTGGGACAACACAACTGGGGCACCTGCCCCAACATTTCGCTACCCCACTCACTGTCCAATTTGCCGCAACTTGCACTGCACCACCACGCGTCTCCGATTGGGATGGCAGATGTGTGCGTGCTCTGCCGTACACTTTCCTACCCCGTGCAGAATGCCGGGCATCTCACCGTTTCGCCGGCGCGCGTCTCGCCCCCGGGGAGCGTCGTCGCGTCCATCTCGAAGATTCAGCCCGCCACCTGCTGATCGTCCTGAAGGCGCACAGGGGCAGCGTTCAGGCCTGCGGATGCCGTGCGGCGACAGCCGCGCCCCACAGCGTGGCAAAGCCAGAAGTCGCAGTCCGCGCCCCGCGCAGCGTGCCGAGGCATCAGATCCCGCAAGGCCGCTTCGTGGGAGAGCACGCCGACCAGAAATCAGCCCACAGCAGAGGCGCCATCAACGGATGTTCAGATCAATCCTCAGATGCCCGAGGTCGCGGACGAGGGGGCTCGCCACGCCCAGATTGCGTCCACGATCCGCTTTGCTGCGAGCGGCAAATCTCCCGAAAGAGATCCCCCCCTGCTCCTGACCCCCTTGCGCTCAGGAGCCCAGGCAGCTGCGGTACAAGATCGACTGGAACGCTCGGGCGAGGACCTGCAAGGTACCTTGTCCGCGAACTCACCGACGAGGCGCGGGCTCGCGCGGACGCCCCGCGGCCGTCGCGGTCCTCAAGGAACTCCCCACGCCGACAGCGGCGACATGGCTCCGAGGCCGCCGGACGCCGCAGCGGCGGACCGGGCAGGGCGTGCCTAGACCGGTGCCCAAACTGTCGCAGGGACTTTGGCCGTTAGGCAGAGATGCAAAGGTGTCTTAGGAGAATAGAGTGAGGGGCTGTGGATTGGGCGTTTGTGGCGGGGGCGGCGCGCCGGAGAGCGGAGTCACCCCCCCCACGCTCGCAGTCTGCCGTGCTGCCTGCGAGCGGGTCATCAGGTGTGATCACGTGGTGGCGGTGTGCCGGGAGCCGTACAGGGGGGGAGGCGGTACTGCGGGGGCCTGTGGTTGGTTGTGGGCGCAACTCGGATTAGTCGTCATGAGGCATTGCATTTAGTTTGAACGTATCTGTGACAAAGCCCGTGCAAGCGCGCCCCGATGTTCCGCGCGTGAACACTGCGGGAACTTGGCGGACTGAAGACCAAGCTGTTTGAGATTGTGCTCATGCGCGTACTAGGGCAGCCGGAGTTTGCGCTCGCATTTTCCTGCCGAAATTCAGATCGGGAATTCGAGCTGCCTGCGGTGCACACACTTCCGACCATTGGACCAGGGCAGCACTCAATGCCTCATGCTCCCCATCATGTAGATGTCTATACGGGGTCCTGCATGAATGCAGACTTTGGACTCACCGCGGGCAACCAACGGGTACGATGTTTTCGCTGTAGTGGGTATTCTCCCCTCCTTACAACTCCGCCCCACGCTTGTATTTGGGGGAGACGTTGCTACAATATCCTGGCTAATTCCCACTGACAAAGTCCCGAGCGACGCTGCAACGAATACCTTTATATCAGTATTGAGGAGCGCTGATGTGTGTGTGTGCACCAATGTTGCGTCAATGTTTGTGGACAAGCCTGTCGCAGCGTCGTTCGGCGTTGCATAAAGGAAACGGCATCCACAATGTTGCGCCCATTTCTACCCACATTACATGTGCAGTTTCTCATGGGAAGCCCATGTTTTGCGATGAACTCGAGTAGATGTCATATAAATGGGCATTTGCTTGTGACCTCAATTTAGTATTTCTTCGCCGACTTCTAGAGTGCGCTCAGCGAACAAGGCGCATGTGCTGCATAAAATCCCTCCGCACTGATGTTCTAGACGTGGTGTAAGTAATTGCTTATTTAAGATTCATACTCTTTCTCCTTGGATTCCTGAAAAATCTGTTTGCGCACATGTTTTGGCTTTGAAAGGAAGGCTGCCGCCGCGTCCATATACATTTGGCAGCAACCGGTGGCTCGCACGCTTTCAGCACCCACGATGTGCAATGCAGTACGGTATGGCAGTGTTGGAGTGCCATTTTTGCTGACCATCATGTTTGGAGACACATCAGCGGCAACTCCCTTCTCTTATTTGAAGCCTGAAGATGCAAAAGTGTTCACCCCTGCTGATCCTACAGTGGTGAAAAGGCCAAACAAAGCCCCAACGGAAAAACATCGAGACAGCGCGATACCATCCATCTGTTAGAGACCGCTAAAACTCGCATGCAGAGTCTCCAACATTTGCTGTCAGAGCAAATATGTTCAATCAATGTTTTCTCGTGCTGCGCTCATAGCGCATGGGCATGGTAGGTGGCGATCTCCAGCCTCGATTTCATTTCCCTTCGTCATTTTGATTCTCATAGCCAAGTTCAACGAGCATTCCAACACTTCACACGGCACTTCACGCAGGCTGCCGGATTCAACGACATGCACGTTAGATACTTCCCCAGTGCCTTTTATTGAGAACCCTAGATTCCTCTTGATCACTCTACAGCTCAAGGTCTTCGAGGCCTGACTCATCGCCCAGTTCGCGTCCACTGAAGCCTTCCAAGTCCGTCGTTGGAGAACTCACGCCAGGCAAGAGTGCAGATGCCGCGGCCAACCCTCGCATCTCCGCCCGCAAGGTGTGCGTCATCTAGATGATACATGGCGATGGAGGCTTGGGGATATCTCTCCAAGCCTCCACGGCCATGTTCGATCCTGTCTCTTATGCACCTATAGGAAGGCCATATCCCTCTGCTCGCAGTTACTCCCGTCCTGCCTCGGCCCTTACCTGGATGTCCCTGTTGGAGCCGCCACTAACTCCACTTGAGTTTTAACTTGAAACACTTCTGAAGTGTTTGGTCAAGGTGTTTGGTCACGTCAGGTGTTGTTCTGAGGTGTTTGGTCAAGGCCAAGCACGTTTTTTGAATCAAACGTGCCTGGCCTTGACCAAAACTCAAGCTTGAATGGACTATTCGAAGGAATAGACACACATTAACTGCAACAACCATTCGAAGTCCATGCGAAAGGGGTTGTGTGCTCAATCGTCGATCCAAAAGAAGGCGATCAGGCCCCTCGCTCAATATCTCTATATCTCTATGCTACTTTTGTCCTACACCTGGCTAAACTTACAGCAGTAGTGCTGCTTCTTCCTGCCATTATGTTAAAAAGCTTCAAGGATGAATCACCAACAATAATTGGATTCATTCGCAGTATGTTATTTCAGCCCCGAAAGCAACTATGCATTTTTTAGCCCATTTGCTGCATGTTTCTCCACCGCTTAACAACGCTGAGCGATTGCTTATATCAAACTTCTGAATTTTCCAAGGTATTATATCACCCAGTGCGCTGCTAAGCATAAGTCATTTGTCCCACATTGAGTGGCAACATCAATGATCGTCATTTTGCAACATGCAGTGCAACATTATGGACCGTTGGAGGTCAGCACATATGAGAAGTGTTTCGATTGAAATTTGTACTTCCAAAATGCCACAAGCAATGCAGCTGTGATTTCCATATCATGATTGGAAAACCAGCAGAACGTGCAAGGGGGTTTTGGTTGCGGGACGAATAGTGGAAATTCTCTTTTGATGATGACGAAGGCAGGCAGGATCGAAGGGTGGCGATTCCTGAACGGGAATTGCACGCTCGACTCCACGACAATATTGTCTGGTGTCATTAATGGTTTACAGCCAAGGCAAAAGGACAACAAGCGCTCTGTCCTTTATATTCCATGGGTTCATCAACATCTTTAATGCAATTCCTAGTGTTTCATCATCTTTCCTTGCATTCAGTTATTAATAACACTCAATCAGCTCTAGACGTAACAATGAATCAAAGTAAGCTTATTGCAATTGAGTGCTGCCGTTTCAGCACACAGCCTCATTTTGGGCCACGCCACTGAAGCTCAATGCTTGCGAGGGCCCGCTGTATGGCATTTCTAGGAATTCAAAGACGGTTGGTGGCTCTTTTCCCATTTAGATAGGAACCATTTCCCTTTCGTGTCCTGGGGACATGTCCAGTGTGGGAAAATTTTTTGGATGAACGGACCTCAGTAAAACACCGAGCTGGTGGTGAGGGGAGCCGCAGCTTCTCATGCTGAGGTGCCAAGTTGGCACCTGCCCACGGACGAGCGTGGGGCGTTCCCTGCCGTGGCTCACTTGACAAAATGGTGATCACCGCGCCGCGGTACAGCAACCCGCATCTAGTAGATGAGGTCTCGGTGCGCCATGGAGAAGGCGTTGCAATGGGAGGCCAGTAAAGAGCTGACGGCATCAGATCTAAATCCTGATGTCACCTGTGCCTAGGGAGCATGTGTTGGTGCGTTGTTGGACAGCACTCTCAACCGTGCTCTTGCCCACATGGGCATATGATGCATCATCCCGACAGGGAGTCGAGGTAGTAGCTTTGTCTGCTGTGGTCTATTCGAATCTGCCCTCCAATTCAGTGGTTTATTCGATGTTGGTCAATGTCAGATCTTTTGAACCTCTTGCCCACGCCCCTGCTGCTGCTCAGTTGGCCTTCCGCAGAAAACCATAGGTGAACAATCCCACATTACAGGTGGGTATTTCTAGCGGGCGCAACCTTGTCTTCCTTGCCGGTCATTAGGGACCACAGGTGGGAATGCTTTGCCTTATGAAAGTCCTTGCGTCGCAGTATAGGAGTGCTAGATTGTGCTCCTTTCTGGTGAGAGGATAGGCTGTATGCTTGACAATGTAATGAACAAAGGAAATAACGCAATCCCAGTTCCCCCCCCACCCCATGTTAAAAAGGCATCAGAATGTATTCCATTGAGAATCCGCTGTATTGATGTAAAAGATTACTCTGGGATACATGCCTGCTTTTGCTTTTGAAAGTTGTTGAGTCTGACTGGCTATATCGCTCTGCTGAATCTGCTATTTTCTGGTTTACCTGGACCAGGACCGGTCAGTCTGTCGAAAATGCCAAAAGGAACTGCGGCACTTCTTCTGGTGCAAAAGGGCATCCATGAGCTGATGGATGCTGCTGCAGTCCTGACAATGCGCCTGGCGTGGGGTTTCTTCTGTTGACGATAGCTAGCAATTTTGCCAAAGGTTTTTGCACCTTTCTCCTAAGCAGCATCTTGCATCAGGCAAGAAAATGTGAAACCTGGATGGTAGTCCACAATTTACTTATTGCGACCACGATGCAGCACGTACATATTCATTACGTCTACTGCACATTACCGCTCTTGTGATTTACCACCTTGTTGC